CCATAAATCACAGAGAGTGGCTGGATCCATGAGAGGGGAGAGGGTACACAGATGTGATCTGATCCAAGCCCTCAGCTACCCACTAATTCCAACTAGTAACCAAGGCCTCAAATAGACTATGCAGCAGATCACAGGGAAAACCCACCCCAGTTTCCTTTGAAACCCCCCCCCCCCCGGTCCATCAGTCACCCGAGGCAGACCAATCCACTTCTCTGACAAGAAGAGCTAACTTGGCAGGTAACTGCTGTACCAAGTTGGATTCTGGATGACTTGAATAGACCCATGGTTTTCATGAAAGCCATGAACTCCCATGCCTACGGAAAGCGGATTAAAGCCTTCCAGAACTATAAACATGGAGAACTCCAGTGCCAACTCAGAAATGAGGTCAAGATTAGTCAGGAAATTTGTTATACAGTAGGGAGGGTTGGTAACAACAGCCATAATCCTAACTGATCCCTAGAGCCCAGCTTAATTAACAGGGTCTCACAATCAGCATCCTTGAAAGCCGTAAGGGATTCCCTGATGACAATAGCCATATCTCTACTACTGCCCTGGAGTCCTAGCTGAGGCCACATTCAAAACCAACCCTGGAATATGCAAATTTGTCAAATACTCTAATCAATTAGAGTAACAGTTTGATCTTTAAAAGCCCAATTATTTAAAATAAAGATTGTATCTAATTCATTAGGCAGTATGTTTAATGTTTTAAAGTAATTAAAAATACAGCAGATGGCAAGCACTACCTTTAATAAGTGCATCATTTATTTTATCTCAAATAAATGTGATATTCTGCTAACCTGCCAAGTTAGCAGTGGCTAAAAAAACAATTGCCTTGCTTCAAAACTCATTATTGCACCCCGCTTTTCCTCAGTCTACTGCCTTGCTAAGGTCTGAGATTCCCAACCAAGAGGCTCTTTAACAGTGTTTCAAGTAATTCTAAGAGCTCCTGTCCCTGGACACATATGAAAGTGTCAGTGCCTGTATTCATGTTTAATTGTTTAAAATTCATTTGGCTGAGAAATATTTTTTTCTAATAGGTTGGTAGCTGTAATAGGCGATTGCGTGAAGGCTGCAACTGATTCTGAAGAGTTCTGTTAGTTACGTGAGTTCCCTATTTCAGCCCTATATCTTCCAAGGTAGAAGGTGCACACTCCTAATTTTGCCTGGTTAATCTGTGCCCTTTATCAGTTTTACATCTACATAGGCATGGGATCCTACCTTACTGTGGTAGCACAGTGGTTAGTGTACAGTACTGCAGGCTACTTCTGCTGATTGCCAGCTGCCTGCAATTTAGCAGTTCAAATCTCACCAGGCTCAAGGTTGACTCAGCCTTCCATCCTTCCAAGATGGGTAAAATGAGGACCCAGGTTGTTGGGTGCAATATGCAGACTCTGTAAACCACTTAGAGAAGGCTGTAAAGCACTGTGAAAGCAATAGATAAGTCTAAGTGCTAGTGCTAGTGCTACTTTGCCCTGTTCAACCTCACAGTGATGCTATTCTCAGGTTTTACTGAGATTGCAAGCACATGACTGGTCACTTTGCAGAGCATACAAAACATTTTTTGACTTCTGAGTTTGCTTACCAGAGTGAAACAGCCTCCTCCCCCAACAAATGTCACACCTGCATCTCAGACCACATTCTTTCTATGCACACAGGGTTGGCTTCTTTCCCCAGCAGAATTTTTTCCTGCTATTTGATGCACAGGCTAGAGTTCAGAGGTTTTGAGGTTTCTTCTAATTCCAGAGAATTGACTGATCTTTGTGTACACACTAAACATGAAAGAGGCACTGAGTCAGAGGGGGCTTCCTGGTGGTGCAATGGCCTAATTTGAGCTGCTTTATCCTATAAAGGTAACATTAGCAAAATGAGAGAATGTAAAACATTGGTGTACACTGAATAACACCTTGCCTTTACCCCATACAAATATCATTGTAATTGTTAATGGGTCTTCATTGATTAGATGAACAAGAAATTTATACCATGGTATTCTTGAATTACCACATCTTTAACTAAAACAGCCATATATGAGACAGTACCCAAAGTAAAACCAAACTAATAATATTGTAAATTGTACTGCAGTGGGTATTTGACATCTAAATGCTATTAAAGCTAATTGTGATGCATTAGGGAGATGACTTTAGACTGACATAGGCAATCTTTGGCTTTATTTTTTCATCCCTACTTAACCAGCATTTCATGTAGATGTATTAACTACTACCCAAAATTGCACAAAACAGAGACAAGCTGCCAGCAGCTCCAACAGGCTTAGATGTCTAACAACACAGAATCTTATCTAGTGCTGCTAGATGAAAAATGCTCTACTTATGTTACTCTGTGGTTGGACTTTCAAGTTTGTGTGTACATACATCTCCCTGCCTGCATGACACTCTTTCTTCCATGAAAGTTGGCTGTGTGGTATGTAGTTAAACTTCAATTAAATGAACCATTTGTGGAGAAATGGTTTGTATTATGTATGAATCTCCATGGCAGCCAAATTTACATTATTTGTATAATTTTGTAATTGATATTTGACATCATTTGTATCAGTTTTCCAGATGATGCAGATTGATACAAATGACACAATGGTCATTGATATAGCACAGAAGTCTCCAAACTTGGCAACTTTAAGACTTGTGGACTTCACCTCCCAGAATTCTCCAGCCAGCTATGCTGGCTGGAGAATTCTGGGAGGTGAAGTCCACAAGTCTTAAAGTTGCCAAGTTTGGGGATCCCTGATATAGCATATAGCTTCCATCCAGACTGTTTATAATATAAATTGGTTTAATAAATAAATAAATTAGACAAGTTATATAATTTAATTTGAATCTCATTTAATATCTCAGCTTCCTGCATTATTTTGAACACAATGAACTTTGCCCATTGTTCGGAAATAAAGTCTAAAGTGAATTTTTGTCCATTGTAACCAAAGTCTACATAATGGTGATCCAAAGAATCAAGGTTTGACTTCAGTGTATATGGCCTCCAAAAAATGTTCTTAAAAGGCATGAGGTTCTTAGGTGGTGGAAAACGATTATTTATGTCCTACTTCATTTTTGCACGGTAAAGAAGGGATAAAGAACAAGAAGCTTCATTTTTGTTGGAAGAATTCAATCATGGTAGTCAGAGGATTGAAACATGGGCAAAATCCATCCAATATGACCCAGGTTATGAACACTGGAAAATAACATAGTGTAGACTGTCCACTCAACTTCTATAGACCTGAACACTACTTTATATTAGCAACTCTCTGCCTGACTGAAGACTTCAGTGTGAAAGTAAGATAGCATTTCAGTCTTTCCCCTATATTTCTGTACATGTAAGGAATGTTTTCAAGGAAAAAGATAGCATTTGGTAGACTTTTTACAATGGCATAAAACAGATTACAATCCATTCCACTACTGTATCTTCCACTGAGGGTTCATGATGATTTTTTGTCTTTAGATACAGATAATCAGAGTTGGAAGGAACCTTGTAGGTCATCTAGTCCAACCCCCCACCCAAGCAGGAGACCCTACACCATTTCTGACAAATGGCAGTCCAATCTCTTCTTGAAAGTCTCAAGTGATGGCGCTCCCACAACTTCCAAGGGCAAGCTGTTCCATTGGTTGATTATTCTCACTGTCAGAAAGTTTCTCCTTGTTTCCAGGTTAAATCTCTCCTTGTTCAGTTTCCATCCATTATTCCTTGTCTGGTCTACTGGAGCTTTAGAAAATAGCTTGACCCCTTCCTCCCTGTGGCAGCCCCTCAAATATTGGAAGAACGCTATCATGTCTCCCCTGATCCTTCTCTTTACTAGACTAGCCAAGCCCAGTTCCTGCAACCGTTCGTTGTATGTTTTAACCTCCAGTCCCCTAATCATCCTGATTGCTCTTCTCTGTACTTTTTCTAGAGTCTCAGAAAACTGGATGCAGTACTCTAGGTGTGGTCTTACTAAGGCTTTATAGAGTGGTATTAGTTCTTCCCTTGATCTTGACTGTATCCCTCTGTTAATGCAACTTAGGAATGCATTAGCTTTTTGGGCGGCTGCTGCACACTGCTGGCTCATATTTAGCTGGTTGTCCACTAAGACTCCAAGATCCCTCTCACAGTTACTGCTATTGAGCCTGGTTTCACCCAGTCTATATGTGCACTTTTGAATATGTGTACTTCTGAATGAGAGATTTCAATTCCTTTACATAGAAATCCTATGTGTGATATTGGTAGAATGCCATAATATAGCTCAAACGTCTTTCTCTGTTTCTGAAATTGGTTTTGCTATTACAATGTGTATCAAGAGGATGAAACTGTATAGAATAGTAAGAAATAGTGTGTCAGAACAAATCATCTCTGGCCATAAAGTGTTTGCTTCTACATGGGAGAGGTGGTTTGCCTCTTGATTTCATGGGTCTGCTTTTAGTTCACCCCGGCAAATGCTGCTTTGAGAGAAGAGCCTCACCTGTCTTCAGAAATGGTGTTTGTCTCTGAGCACCTTCAAAATATACTTTTCTGCCTCTTTTAAATCATGGGAGGAAATGCAAAGTTTGAGTGCATTTGAAGGTGAGACTGGCCCAAATGAACTTCACCTTGTTTGTTTAAATCACTGTGGCTGCTGCAGTTTTCTCAGCTGTTCCTCCTTCCCTTGGCCCATCTCCGGTAATAGAACAGGGTATGGTTTGTTCTGCATGCCTTCTTAGATCCTTGGGCGATGGCTTTCCAACCCTATTATGCAAGAGGCAAGCAGGGAGTGTGGTTAGAAGAATATCTGAAAGCAGAAGCAGATCACTGGCTATTTGTCGGTATACTTTTTCTTTTGGTTTAATAGTTGAGAGAATTTCAAGGTATGGTTTCTATAACAAGCACTGAGACTTATATCGTGGTGTATTTTCTGGATTGTTACATGGTTTCTGCTGTCTTTCTGGTGCAAGGTCAAATAAGGCGAAGGAGTTTGCTTTATTCCTAGTCTCTCATACCTGAGTATATTTTATTTTTTTTACCACATCTAGCTTTTTTTTTCTGTCTAGGTAAACAACAATGGAATCATCTCCTTCTTGAAAGAGGTATCTCAGTTCACCCCCGTGGCTTTCCCCATTTCCAATGACCGACGTGTTGTTGCTGCATTCTGGGCTGATGTTGATAACCGGCGTTCAGGACAAGTGTATTACCGGGAAACCACAGACCAAGCCATTTTGGAGAAAGCCACTAAGGATATTGCACAGTATTTCCCAGAATTCCCAGAGTTCTCAGCCCAGTGGGTATTCATAGCAACTTGGAACAAGGTTACCTTCTTTGGAGGAAACTTATTTTCTCCAGTAAGTATCAGGACCAGAATGTTGATTGATAGGTAATAAAAATAAAAAGAGCTTCCTCCCTGCCCCATTGTGATTAAGCTTGGGTAGAACAGAAATTGTAGTAAACTGTTGGCTTATCAGCAGAGCAATATTCATTTCAGATCCAAAGGTAACTATGTTTTCTTGGCTTTTTTCCTTGAAAACATTTTGCTTCTCATCCCAGAAGACGCTTCTGGGACAAGAAGCGAAACATTATCAGGATAAAACTAAGGAAGTCCAGTTGCTTTTTGCAAAAGCACTTTTTGGGACAATCATAACCTGGATGATTGAGAATCATCTTCCTTCATTTCAGACATCCGCATTCTATCTTTCCTATAGTATGAGAGATCAGAGAATAAAATACAATACTCATCGCACTGTTAAAAGAAAGAAAGAAAAAATACAAATTAAAACTATTTTAAAAGATAGGAATTAGGACACACAATATAGCAAGACAATAAAAAAATCATTAAGTTCAAAGGTTGGTTGGCTCAGCCTTCCATCCTTCGGAGGTCCGTAAAATCAGGACCCAGATTGTTGTGGGCAATATGCTGACTCTGTAAAACCGCTTAGAGAGGGCTGGTAAAGCACTGTGAATTGGTATATAAGTGCTGTTGCTATTCTTGCCATGAATCAGTGCTCCTCAGAGCACTCTGCCTCTCTTGCAGCCAAGCAGTTCTTCAGGACTCAGAAAGACTCAATAAGTATTGTTTGAGACCTCCTTGAGAAGGTTTTACTTTAGTATTAACCAGTGTTGCAACTTTCTGGATGTTGCCTACTGCCTTAATACTCTGTATGTGTTGTTTTTTTTTCTTTGCAGGTAAATACTTTCCAGATAGCCCTCATCACCGATGGCCTGCTTTCCTTCACTATCTTCAACTATGAATCAATAACCTGGACCACTGGCATGCATGCCAGCAGTGGAGGAAATTTAGCAGGTCTGGGAGGGATAGCAGCCCAGGTAGATTACCTGATCACGTTCAAGCAAATCTCCTTTCTAATACACAGCAAACATTCTTGGAGATGGCTGAGGATGATGTTTATTGTCTTGATATTGTCATCATGACCAATATAATCCTTAGCCTCAATTTAAATGATAATCTTATTTTTCCCTTCCCTTCAGAGCTAGGACTACATAGGACCTTTAGTGAAGGAAACTGTAGCTCTTTATTTTGGCCAGCGCTTCTGAGTTCCTTCCTTTCATTAGCCACCAACTTTTTAAAAAGAGTCATCCAGCAATGACTGCAGCAACTTACAACTTTCTCTTGGCATTTATATTTCATTCTATATGTTTTTTTTTCTTTCTTCTTTTAGTCGGTGGCTGTTCGGATGTGTGGATTTACCATTAATTGATCTATGCTTGGCCAGCTGCTGGCAGTCATCTGAGTTATCTCCAGTAAGCAGGAAGTTGCAGGTGTATAGGAAATTAATCTATTTTGAGCCCCAGAAATTCAGGAGTGTAGACTTTTTATGACTGTAAACAGAGCAGTAACCACATGCTTTGGGTACTGTACAGTGCTTTAGGAACACCCTGCCCTGGCTCAGCCAAAGCGGGGAGAGAGAGGAAGTTGAAGTTTTTCACCAGGCACTGGCTTCGGACCAAATTTGTGAGAATTTGCTGCTGTAATTCACAACACGATAGAGTGGCTCGGCAGACGCACCTCGCAGCTCAGCATGGCAGAGGCTGCTGCTTGGCTTGAGCTAACAGAGCTGTGCTCATTTTGTGGAAAGCAGCAAGTGAGTCCAAGATTCTCTTGGATTCACCCTGTATAGATGAATGGGGATGAAAATAAGCTCAGTGTTTTGTGCACTTTCCAGATAGTGAGTCATGGATGAGTGGGGATTGCTGGGGCCTTTTGGTGCCAAAAGCCATTTGGGAAAAGAGTTGCACAAATAGAGCATCTGAACTCCCTCTTCCCCTCCCACCTCCCTTTTTCCTTTTAATGATGACAGTTATCATGTGTTGTAGCCAAAGTCTTTAATCACAGATGACATTCAAAACAGTAGGAGATGGCTTCTAGACTATATACGCTGCTTATTTTCTACTGGTTTGTCCTGAAGCAGCTGGAACAGGGGTCCAAATAAATGGTCCTGAAGAAGAAATGCTTTGCCTCAGCATAAACTTGCAAGTAAACCTCCAGATGTTGGTGGCCCACAGCAATGTTTGCTAATTGTGAACAAGTTTTAGTCATTTATGAACTGACAACTGTATGATTGCCTAGTCAAGAGTTCTTATCCCAGGAGTCCTGACCCCTGGCTTACAAGAAAACAGCTACATTCTTGCTGCATTTATTACACACATATCCCCTTTTTCCCCTGTGGAGTCAACTTGATATATGCTGGGTTTCCATGGGGTTCCCGTTTAGGCGTTGACAAGACCAAGAACCTCTAAGTTCAGGCAACATGTTTCATCAGAATTAAATTCCCTGGGAATTGAATGTTATGAAGTCCAGAAAGTGAAGATAAACTAGGAACAAGTGAAACTGCCATATGTCAAGTGAGCTCATTAGTCCCTTTTGCTGAGTTCTGTTAACACTAGCGATAGCATTTCAAGATTCTAGACCAAAGCCCTTCCCAGCCCAATCTGTGGAGTCAAAGGATGCTCCATATGTACAAAACATGTGACTTTTCACTGAACTACAAGATTTCTCCCTGTAAGGAATTTGTCAAAGGAAAACTTCTAGAACAAACTATTATCTCCACCGCGGGATCAGAGGAGTTGTGTTGTGAGGGTTGCTAATGCCTCCTATGCAGCATAGTGGCTATTTAGATGGGAAGCAGAAACACAAAGCAATATTCAGGGAAATTGGATGCTTCCCTTCCTTATGTTCTTGCAGTCCATTCCTCTGCAGGGCACTGGGCATGGTGGAAGAGAGAAGTCCCTTGCATTTCCCCGCAGCTGCCCTGCTTTCCCCAGCAAGAGGTTTCAGTCTCTGCCCTTGTCTTCTAGGCAGGTTTCAATGCTGGTGATGGAAAACGGTATTTTAACATCCCCGGATCCCGCACTGATGACATTGTCGACGTGGAGATGACGACAAATGTGGGTATCCCCGGGCGCTGGGTATTCAGAATCGATGATGCCCAGGTGCAAGTGGGGGGCTGCAACAACACAAGTAAGAGGACAGCAGTTAGGTTTATTTAATGAAACCAATTCTTCCAGCCCTTCTCTGTGTCCCTGTGAAAGTTCTATGAAGGGCGGCAGCCATGCAATAGGAACAGTTGTGAGTGGCACATAAACTTCTGAACACTGAGTTGTTATGTTAATGCAATATAATAAATATGGTTAGCAAGACATGGGATGTACTGATGCTGAAACTGTGCAAGGTATAAATTTGGGGGATATGGCTGTGCTACTCAGACTGAATCCCTTGGTGGCTGTAGATCTCTTCTGACTGATTAAGAGCTACTTAATTATTTCTTGATAATGAAACAAGTAAAAATAAGAGATAAACAGAATACCTCTGAAAAAAGTAGGTCTTTATATGAAAGGATGTTGATCCTGAAATAGAGATGATTTCATCTTCCCCCATAAAAGTGAGAGAACAAATTCATCGATTATCTTTACTGTATTCTCAAGTAAATCCTAGATTCCCTCATTTTAACACTGAATTATTTGGAAGATGAGGGAAAGCTAGTTTCTTCTTAGTTAATACTCTGCTTGTAACAGTTCATATCATGGCATTCATCTCAACCATGAGCTGAAAATGGCATCTATGATGCTTTCCTCTTCTGTTGGGCTGATAGAAATTGGCCCCCAATTATCTACTTAGGTTCATGATGGAACTCAAGTCTTCTCATTAGTTCTTACGTGTCAAAGTGGTTGGCTTAGAAAAAGATCAAAGGCTCTTAAACTGTAAATTAAGCATAAATCCATAATGTTTTCTAAATTAATTCAATCATGTCTGATAGGACTTGATCCCAGGTATATACCAGTTTTCTCCAATCTGATGTCCCAAATCTGATAAAATTGCAGTTCCCAGATTATTCTGCAAGCTTAATAGCTGGAATTCTGGAAGTTGCAATCCCAGTGTAATATCCAAATGGATACATTAGATTCTATCCCAGGTTTAGTTGCAAAATGTTTAATGCGTGGGGCTCTGGGGTCACTAGTAGATATGTTTGCAAACCCATATGGGAAGTGATATCCATATCCCTCAGGAATTGGCTAAAACCATCACTAAAAGCTATCCATCGTGCCAGATATTATTCTCCTGTAATTCTGAGGATTTGTTCAAAAACTGAAACTTCCCACAATCTGTGACCCATCAGTTTTGCAGGATCTGCATGGTTTCCAGATAAAAACATGTATTCAGATTTTCCCAATCTTTGGCTTCTTAGAGTTAAATGACTTCTTTTCTAACTCTTTATTCTTAAATTTATCTCTTCATCTTTGAGATATGCATCTCTGCATATCTGTCCAAGCTATTGTTCCTTCTTTCTTCTCCCGCTCCCTGATTTCCAATTTAACAATTTTAGAGATCTAGTAGCTGTTTTCTCTGCCTGTTTTATTTCCTTGAACACATAATTCTGTTAAAATATTAATAATGTTGGCAAATTCTTTAATAATGGGAAATTTTTTGTTATTGATGTAATTCTTAACTCTTGGGATTGTCATAAAAGTATTACAATATAACAAAAGGCAAAGAGATGCCATGAAGATTATAGAATCGATCAAAAATATTTTTCTGTAAAAATGATTTAATAGGATTACTAAAATTTCACTTAATAAAAGGCTGAATATTGGTCTATTGAGGATATTAATGTTATTAGATTTTCAAAAAGATTGTAAAATTCCTACATAGATCAATAAAAGTATTGGCAATGGACAACTAAAGCAAAGAAAACCAACTTTCTTTATTTAAACTTATTTTTAAGTAATACGTTTATTTATTGTACATTTCAATCCAATTTAGATGTGGATGATGAGTACATTACATTGTGTGATTTTGAAACAAATGTGAACTTCTGCACATTGATGATCTAAGTTTGTTACAGAAAATCATCTAAAAGAACTAAGTTAGATTAGTCTAATACCTCAGTTGCCACGTAGAATCATAGAATAGCAGGGTTAAGAAGGGGTCTTGGAGGTCATCTAGTCCAACCCCCTGCTCCAACAGGAAACCTTATATCACCTGGATTATTTTGGTGCCTCTAACAGAGTTGACAACCCTGCCTTATATGAAAGCCATGAATTATCCAGGGATCCTACTCACAACTGACTAATCTGCCTCAGGGTGACAAGAATGTAGGTCATATTGTTGAAATGGCACAAGTACAACCTCTCCCACCCAAAAAAATCCTGTTTAGCATCATCTAACATCTCTCTGGGCATGCTTCCAGCTATTGAATAATGGGTTTATTTCTTCATGCAGCTTCAGTGTGTTTGACACTTCGTCCTTGCTTGAATGGAGGAAAATGTATTGAGGACTGCATCACAGGGAACCCTTCATACACTTGTTCTTGTCTGGCTGGTTTCACTGGAAAACAATGCCAAATTGGTGAGTCCTGCTTGTCTGCGGTGCACAATTGTATGGAGCAACTGTACTATTTCAGGCACAAATTAGACCTTATACAGCAACTTGTTTTATTTTAGATAATCTAAATCTATAGATCTTAAAGATTATTTTTTTCTCCCTGGGGGAAGAGGAATTGAGTATCTGAGTAAATCCTAATCCATAGCACCTCTCATTTTCTCTTCCAGATGTGGATGAGTGTGCTTCCAATCCATGTCATAATAAAGCATCTTGTATCAGTGGCATCAACAGCTTCAGCTGTTGGTGTCCACCGGGATTTAAAGGAGCTACATGTGAAATTGGTGAGAAATATTGTGTAAGAGCAAAGACACAAGCCAATAACAAATCTAAGGAGAAAATGTGATTATGATTTTACTATTAACAGTATTTAGCATTTAATTTTTTTGTATTGTGCTTTAATTTTTTTAGCTGCCCTGAGGTTTTGCTTGAAAGCAGATTAGTTAGACACATAACCAAGACAAACTCATGTTTGTGGCAGTTACTTTAATTTTAGGAAAGAATGTGCTTTAGTGACAGGGTATCTCTAGAGGTGTTGGATTACACTTCTCAGAATGCCCAGCTAGAATGATCAAAGAGATGAAGCATGATGTGCTGCAGATAAGACAGATGGGTATGGCTATCATGAAACTTCCCACATTTTCCTTCCATATAATTTTCATTACAACCTACTTCTCTTCCATTAAACAAGAAACAATCCTAACTTCAATAGCTGGACTGTGTGCAAATTCAGAAGCTGAGAGGTTCTATACCCTGTATGGTTTTGTCAGAGAAAAAAATAACATCATAATTTAATTTTCCTTTTGTTGTTGTTATTGTTGAAATATAATAGAGGAGTCTCCCTGTAAAACCAAAGACTGCCAGAATGGTGGGGAATGCCTAATAACAAACACAACTGCTGTCTGCCTTTGTCAGCCAGGTTATACTGGAGAAGATTGTGAAATAGGTGAGCCAAAAATAAGCATGTGTATTTAATGTAATCACCGTTTAATCTCTTGCTGATCTGATAGGAATTGCATTGTTTGCTTCTGTTCTATGTTAATAAGTATTTCTGTTTATTTCATCAGTTAATTCCCTATTTATGAATAACAGATCTCATAGTGCTTGAGCACTATAAGTTTTATACAAAATGAACACTATAACTTCATTTTAGACTTAATATTTTTGTTCTCTTTCTTTTCTCTGCAGAAATAAATGAATGTGAGTCGAGCCCATGTCTGAATGGTGGGCAATGTATGGATCTTGTCAACAACTATACTTGTTCCTGTGCAACACCTTTTACTGGACAGCATTGTGAAATAGGTGCCTGATTTTATAACTGCGTGATGGCATCCTTCTTCCTACAAAGCTAGTCTTTATTTTTTTCTCTTTCTTTGCTACTTTCAGGCCCTTGGCTTAGAGCCATAATGTATGTGTTATCTTCAATTATTCAGCTTCATTTGATCTATACTGAGGCTCCTTCCTCTTCATTCTAGATCCTTCAATCTGTGAGGGCAGGAACTGCAGGAATCGGCAGATGTGCAACTATATTCGCCCGGGGCGCTATGTCTGCACATGCTCACCAGGCTACTATGGGAACAATTGCCAATATGGTGAGTATATTTGTCTGTTTTCTCTAAAGGGAAAAATGTGTAGTTCAACACTGCCCCTGTACACCCTGATCACGTGGAATAGTCTTCACTATTTGGAATTTTTTTAATCCAGCGACTGGTAATGTTTGACATTCATATTGTTCAGCTTCTTCTTTAGTTTACTTTTGGGAAATGGCAATTGTGTTTCCTCATCCGCGGTGGCGCAGTGGTTAGAATGCATTACTGCAGGCTACTTCTGCTGATCACTGGCTACCAGCAGTTTGGCAGTTTGGGTCTCTTTGGCTCAAGATGGACTCAGCCTTCCATCCTTCCCAGGTTGGTAGGATGAAGACCCAGGTTGTTGGGGGCAAGAGGCTGATTCTGTAAACCGCTTAGAGAGAGCTGTAAAGCACTGTGAAGTGATATATAAGTCTAAGTGCTATTGCTATTGCTATCCAGCTACTACTTATTCATTAAACAGTTACAGCTCAAGGATAGGGAGCTTGTTTTGACCAGAGGGGAAAGATGACTTGGATTAAGTGATTATCAGCATGAGTAATCACGCTCCAGACCTACTTGCTTGGATCCATGCTTAGAATGAACTAGTCACTTTACTTAAACCTTGCATAAAAAACTTCATTGCCCTTACCCCAAGCTCCTAGTTTTTAATGAAACTTTGAAGTAGTCTTACCAGTACAAAGTGAGTATTTTAAGAGCTCAATGCCATTTTACTGTATGTGTTTTGTGAAGGAGTCTCCCTATGTATGCTTATTGCATTTTACTCATGATGTTCATAACCCTCTTTGAACTATTTTAACATTGGGCATATTGAAGATTATTTTTGAAGAATGGACCCAGAAGTTAATTTTAAGAGTATCTGCCTCTGTAGATAGACTGTGTTGAAAAGATGCTATGGAAGAGGAACAAGTATTACCTGACATGATTGACACTGATTTAAAAATGAATTAAAAATGATATGCTATAAGAAGGACATGGAAAAAAATGTTGCAAAAGAAACCAGTTAATGCCGTAATAATGAAAAGAGTTATATAAATAACAAATCAAGAGCGTAATCTGGATAAATCCATTTACAGTAAATAGTATTTACAAAATAGGCTTGTTAAAGCTTTAAAGAATTTTGTGAGAAGGGACAAAAATGAAAAGAAAGTTCTAGGGCATTTTGAAGGGATTAAAGAAGAAGATGGTTAATTAAATATAAAAGGAAAGAATATAACATTGGTTTATTTAATCAAGATTAAAATAGATATGTTTTATCTCTGGTAAGCCTTAATGGATATATGGTGACATTAGGACTGAAATGATGGCTTTTAATGTATTTTTTATGAATAAAGATTGGATATGTGGAAAAGTGATCATCTGTTGCATTTTAAGAGAAGATAGTAAGTTATTAAAATTGTTTACTTTGTGATGAAAGGGGAAGTCACTTCTTTATATTTATTTTACTTTGTTCTTATTTTTTCTTTCTTTTCTTTCTATATTCTCTATTTTTTGTTGTGTCTTTTTTCTTTTTATTAGTTTTATTGTTATAAAATCTTTAATAATATTAGTATTAGAAATCTGTAAAGGTCTTATTTTCCCCCCGCCAACCACAACTAAAAAAGGTAGCAGAATCCAAGGAAGTTCTGTATTAATAGAGCAATAATTTAAAAAATCATTGCGGCAATTGATTCACAAATCACACCTCAAAATCCATTTAAGAATTACAGGTAGTTCTTGACTTAACAACCACTTTTTAACAATGGTTCAAAGTTATGACAGCAAAAAATGACTTTTGACCCATCCCCAAAGTTACAACAATTGCACCATCCACATGAACATGTGATTATGCTTTAATGTTTGGCAACTAGCTCACATTTATAGTACAATAGTTGCAGCATCTTGTAGTCACATGTTTGCAATAACCTTCCCATCTTATTTCTAATAAACAAAATAAATAGGAAAGCTGGCAGGGAGGGTCACAAATTACAATCACATGGTGTCTTGCTTAACAATCATGGTGATTCACTTAACCATCATATCAAAAAAAAAGTCTTAAAATTGGGTGCTATCATGTGATGCCTCAATGGCCATGCTGCTTAATTATGAACTTTCTGGTCACAATTGTGGTTTTATGTCAAGGACTTATCTGTATTCTGTTGATCAGCTTTGTGAAAAGAAATATTGGTATCAAAGTAGATTAATTTCAGATATTTTTAGCCTTCTGTCCAAATTATTTGAGGCAGGCCCTGTTAAGAAGGTAGAATCAGCTTCTTGGGCAAAACTTTCCATCCATTATCTTATCCTTAGTAAAGCATTGCCCACAAGTGACCAGACTTTTTACACTCATGTAGGTCCTCCTAATATCTATGCAGTGGTAAAAAGTATTGATATGTAAAACTGGACATACAGGAACTGCCTCTTAACTTGAGAGCCTACATTTTGGGGATGCTAGATTATCTAAAGTCATCTGTGTTTACCTCTCATGTGTCCTCCCTATAGAATATCAAGAGAAGGAGGTGTATTTAATTAAATAATTTTTTATACAATCCTACTGAATGGTTCCCAGATAAATATATATAGAACAATAAAATAGCACAATAATAAAAACAAAGAAGAAAATATGGCAGAAACCAGGCAACAACCAAACAAACCCACATTGCCTTGAAGGGAAACCCAATCGCTCTTGCCAAAGGCCTAGGTGAAGAGCAATGTCTTCAAGATTGTCCAAAATACCAGCAGGGTGGAGGTTATCTGGATCTCAAGGAGTCAGGTGATGAAGCAGAGCATTTATATTTAGTTATCAAATTTATTTATTTAATTTATATAGCCATCCATCTCACAAAATACAACCATGTAAGGTGTATAACAGTCCTGATAGATGGCATTGTTTAATCGAAAGAAGTTGAAGCACATCGACCCTGCGAGATAGGATTGGTTGGGTGGATACTATGAGAGATAGGTGTCCCAAAAGTAATCAGGCCAAACGTCATGTAGGGCTTTATAGATAAAGACTAGATTCTGTATTTGATACTGAGAAGATGTTCTGATATTCTTTTTTGTGCTACAGAAATGAGTACGTTCATGAGTACTTCACTGATGTTTTTTAGGTGGCCCTAGAATGTCTAATGCCTGTAGCTCCAATCCATGCCAGAATGATGGCACATGTCTTGAAAGCAGTCAAGGTTATGTTTGTGAATGTGCAGAAGGATACGCAGGCACTGACTGCAGAGATAGTAAGTATTGGAGTCAAACACACTAAACAAAATGTTTGTGCTCTCCTTGAGCTTCATGCCTGTATATATTTATTTCCAAATTAGCAGTGGAACTCTGCAGTCTGGGTGGGTAGTTTGCAGAAAACCAATTTGTTTTTCATTTGTTTTCTTTTTCAAAGTGATTGCATTTGTGCAGGTTCTAGCTCTGGAAAAATTACTGCTAATGCTGTCTCCAACCACATTAAATTCCCAGTTGTTTTAGATTTATCAGTAGTAATCAGAGGTGGTATTCAACCAGTTCGCACCTACTCGGGTGAACCGGTAGTGGTTATTTGGTGTGGGTCGCTGAACCAGTGGCAACCCCTGGCTGGCCATGCCCCCAACCCAGTCGCCCGGTCGCTCACTTGCGATCGCTCTCCTAGCTTTCCGTTCCCCACATCCTCTTTCTCCCTGGGGGAAAGGAAGAAAGGCATGGACGCTGCAAGTATCGCCTTCCCTGTGTGAGTTAAAGTGTCTGGACTGAGAAGGAGTGCGGTCTGACAGAGGGGGTGGGGGAATACACTCCAGCCTTGGAGAAATTTAAAGGAGCTGCTTCCAAAATGCTTGTCTGTTAAGTGCTCTCTCTCTCTCTCTCTCTCTTTCTCTGTGTGTGTGTGTGAGAGAGAGAGAGAGAGACAGAGAGAGAGAGAGAGAGAGAGAAAGGAAGGGAGAGAAAGAAAGAAAGAAAAAAAATAGGAAGAGAGAGAGATAAAACTCTGTGCTATTATTTTCAATTGTTCCATTATTCATCATGTGTTAATATTTTACACTGTCCCTACACCTAGAGTGATTTTTCTGCCTTTCTTCTGCCCAGGGCTACCACATATTTTTCAGGGTTTACATGCATTCAATGTCAATAGTCCAGAGCATAAAATACACATGTGTTTAACAAGAGTTGAAAAGGGACCTTGGAGGTCTTCTAGTCCAACCCCCAGCTCAGACAAGAAAACTGAGGATGCCAAACTCTGAGTAGAAATCCTGGGAAAGGTGTCAGAATAATACTTAGAGGGGACCTTGGGGTGAACCCTATACCATTTCAGACAAATGGCTGTCCAGTCTTTTCTCAAAAACTTCCAATGATTGAGCACCCAGAACTTCTGGAGGCAGGCAGTTCCACTGGTTAATTGTTCTCACTCTCAGGAAGCTTCTCCTTAGTTTTAGGTTGCTTCTCTCTGTTCAGTTTCCATCCATTGCTTCTTGTTTGCATTCTGCTTCTTTGGAAAATACATTGTCCCCCTTTCGTTGTGGCAGCCCCTTAAAAGCCTGTTGCCTATCACACTCTTGGGTAAAGCATGTGAGCCATTTCTTCTTTTCAGTGGTCCATGAAAGTACATCTATAGTATGCAGATAATAAAGTCAAAAAAGGTGAACAACATTTTTACAGAACTATAGATAAGTTGAGGCTGGGTGACAAGAAATGGCTGGGAGGGGAGGGGCCAGGTGAGGCACCCCTTGATATGAGTGACATTGAGTTGGCCACGCCCACCCAGTCACATGACCACCAAGCACACCCACCCAGACACATGACCACCCAGACACATGACCACCAAGCACGCCCACCCAGTCACATGACCACTAAGCCACACCCATCCAGTCACATGACCACCAAATAAGCCACTCCCACCAAATAAGCCATGCCCACAGAACCGGTAGTAAAAAACTTTGAATTCCACCACTGGTAGTAATGATAAGATCCTGTCAGGAACTTGCAAAAGAAAACATTGACACAGCTAGCAAACTAATAGTAGAATTGATGTCGCCATTTGCATGTGGTGGTACTCATGACATGGGAGATAGTGACACAACTTCAGATGTATGGTGCAGTAGCTACTATTTTAAGTGTGTGTGTCATGGCCATCATATCTCCTTTCTTGAACTCTGCTGTCAGAATTTTCAGAATAAACAGTTTGTAATGTTTTTCTGATGTCAAATTTATTTCAAAAGCAGATTTGGGATTTTAATCATTTCAAATTGGGGATTAAAAGCCAAATGTGAGCACAACATAAAACCAGAAGTAACTTTGATCTTTGTATGTTTAGTATATTGCTATCATTTAGAGCAGTGTTTCTTAGTCTAAGTGACTAAGACTGTGTACTTTAATTCCCAGAATTCCTCAGTCAGCCTCCTGTTTGGAGAATTCTGGGACTTAAAGTCCACAAGTCTTAAAAGATTGCTCAGGTTGAGAAATGTTGATTCAAAAAAAATTCTATCAATTTTTAGTAACCAAGGCTCATACAAGAGACAGGGCTGCAGTAAAAGATTATAAGCAGGATTTTAACATTTCACTGGTATTGTATTTGAAAGGAATTTGAGATTTAAAAAAAAACTATATAAAGTCTGCTTTAAGCTTTACACTTTCACCGCCACTGGTATTTCTGCCTAAAAATGTTAGGAAATTGTATCACTGATTTTCAGCAATGGCAATATTAAAATTGGTGGTACAGTTGGAGGGAACTCTGGCTGATGTAAAATAAGGGCTTTCAACACTACATAGGGCTACCTGTCCTTATTACACAGAGAATAGAATCAGCTCCCATCATGTGTTGCTAATTCTTATTTTAATGCCTATTATCCAGGCCATTTTTGCTCCAGTTTCTGGAGAACTAGTTTCTTTCATGCTCCCACTCTATCTCCTGTTGACCTCATTTATCTTCATTAAGCTTTTCCCACTCTATAGCCTACAGGCACTAATTCCTGGCTCATACTGTCTTCTAGGAAGAGAATAGGCAGTGTCTGCTGTATCATTAAAGTAAAAAAAAAGCAATAAGATTCATTAGAGTTGTTGAACCAAGGACAGATCCCACCACAAGGGAGTATTTAATAGGTAAAGTGTGATTACTCCTGTGGGGAGCACAGCTGGTTTGTAATTTGCCATTGCTTGGATATTAATTAAAGAAAATAACCAATGTTACAAGAAAAGGAAGTAAAAGTTCTTCATGATACATAGCAAGCTCTAATTCTGATATTTCCTCACGGCAGGCTGCATCATCCTACTTTGGTTACTGGAGGTAGATTAATGAAGGCCTCAGATTTGCTGGCTCAGATGAGTCTAATTTGTCCCCCTCAATATTCTTCTTCCCTCCCTCAAATTTTTGCAGAAGTCTCAGATGACTGTGAGTGTCGGAATGGAGGAAAGTGCCTGGATGGAAATATTACTGTTTGCCATTGCCCACCTGGATATTTTGGGCTTCTCTGTGAATTGGGTAAGAGAAAGTTTTCTGATTTATGCAAACATTTTATTATCTTTAGATTCTTGCTGCAGGTGTGGTAAGGTGACGGGGTATACTGGGGTACCTTAAAGTATAACACATTTACTTCTGTGTAAATTTTTATGGATCAGCTCTGAATCATAAAATGTTACGTGATAATCATCCGGTTAGTCTTTAAGATGTTATCGGATTCTATTTTTTGTGTTGTGAAAGATTACCTCTCTAGAAATTCCTAGAGTATAATACGATGCAATCGTATTGCATCAATGGCATGTTATACAAATATACACACATATTCAAGGTGGCGAACATAGCTAATACTTCTGCTTCCTAATTTATCTGCAACAACCACCATGTCAGTTGGGTTGGAAGATTTGTCCCTCAGGATGTCCTGACATTATCTAACTTTGTGATTAATTACATTTTTCTTAACTTCCTATGAAGTTAAGAAGGTAGCATGCATGATTTCTCTACTCATTCAAACTCCTATTTTATCTATATATCCATAGTGGATTTCATTATGGATTGCCTAGTTCAAGGTTACCTAATTTTCTTCATTGATGAAGTAGGATCAGTTCCTATAGCTCTTCAATACTTCTCCACTCAAACAAGGCTGCTCTGGGCATGAAAGATACTATACTAGTTGCACATTTAAATGCTTATTGTTTGCCTTTGTTAGTGATCTGAGATGATTTCATGTTGATCCCACCTCAGCTGTCTTGCCTAAACTTCTGACTGACATTTCCATTTGTGAACATGGGCAAAATAACTGTTTTTACATAACTGCCCAACCAATGTTTTGATTCCTTCAGAGCCTCTCCCTGGCATATGATCACTGAAAGCACCAAGAACCAAGAAAACAGTCCAGATTTGTGTTGGCCATGAGTAATGATCTGAATCTGTATCTATAGCTAATACCCTCCAGTTCTTTTGAACTACAGATCATATCAAGCCAGTGACTGATAATGTGACCAAACTGAAGGTTTAGTCTAGTGAAGACAATTTTATGCCATGCAGCATTGTTTCTTCTCTTGTGTGTCCTATATATCCTTGCTTTGTAAGTAAAGTAGATAATTTTCCTTGAGGTGGATAATTGATCCTGCTGAGTTTAATGAGTGACATTTCTCATCATTATAAAGCTCATCTGTAGTGTGCTCAGCTGTGTAATAGGAAATCGCCCTACATATGCCTTTGATCTATTGCAGAAGTGACTACTACACCTTGCAATATGAACACCCAGTGCCCTGATGGGGGTTATTGTATGGAGTATGGTGGCAGTTACCTTTGTGTGTGCCATACAGATTATGGCACTAATCACAGTAAGTAAAAAAAGGTTCAGAGGATTAGAGTGTGTCCTGATTATAAGAAACATGATTGGGAAGAGAGGAGTATGTCATATAATGATGCCAATCAAGAGTTAACCTGGTTAGTGAAGGTTAAGGGATAGGTTTAAAAATGAAGGAGGGAGAAAAGCAATCTTGAGAAATGCAATGTAATTTATAAGGAACATGCAAGTGACATGGTAGTGTGGGAAAATAATGTGCAAATGACTTGCACCATCTTTGTTGGTTATGCTGCTCATGCAAATTATACTTTCTCTTGTAAATGGCGTGAAATTGGTGAGAATATCAAGTGGGCTGTTAAGTTTGGGGTTTGTGAATAGTAGGAAGGAGAACTTGCTATATCTTTCAAAAAACAATCCTCCTTTGAAATTGATACTTTCTTGGCATCAGTTCCTTTAAAATGAACATTAACATCAGAGAATAGGGTGCTTTTTTTCTCAGCCATGCAGTATGGGAAAAAGAGTTACCCATCACTCTTTAGAATATTGCAAAATCTCCAACCACGCCTCCATCTTTACCCTGTGTATATTTAAGATGATGTCATTCCTGAGGGTGGGATGCTATCGGTTCTGCCCGGCTCTATAGAACTGGTAGCTCTGAAGAGCAGCAGACACCGAACCGGGCTCTTGCCTGTCCTTTATTTCCTGCTTTTTCAGCCTCAGCTGCTTTGTGCGGCACAGCTGAGGTTGAAAAAGCAGGAAAAAAGAGGCTTTTCAAACGCTACGCACCTGCCCGCAGTGCTTTTCAGCTGTCTGGGCGGCACAGCTTAAGGTTTTTTACACGTGCGTGTCTGGCGCACGTGAGCGCAAAGCGCCCATGTGCACTTAAAACATAGTCACCAAACTGATAGTAATACCGGTTGAATCCCACCACTATGTCTGCAATCCCAGGATTCCAGGATGCAAGGCCTGGAACACGGGTGTCAAACTCGCCACATCCATGTGATGTTTCGTGATGTTTTTCCCCTTTCATGGGGTAGGCGTGGCATGCATGCATCCAGCCCATGGGCCACCAGTTTGACACTCCTGGCCTAGAATACCCATGGGCATCTGGATTCAAAGAGATGTGTCCTATTTTTACATGTCATTTAATTGAGCTCGTCTCCATGGGGCAGGTGGGTTTTTCATTTAGCATCAGCCCATGTGAGGCCATGTCTGCTTTTGCAGCTGAGCCAACCTCTCCATGTGACTCAGAGCCCTGCCTGAACGGTGGATCTTGTGATGCTCATGAAGACTCCTACACCTGTGACTGTCCCCGAGGCTTCACTGGGAAATATTGTGAGAAAGGTACTTGACAACACAGAGGTGGTTGAACAGAATCTACATTCTCAAACCTGCTTTGATGAGAGACAACCTTTTCACCCAGAACAGGATTGGGTGAGAAACTGATTGCGAGGATTGGTGTTTTTTCTCTCCTATGACTGAACTAGTGCATGGTTCATCCTAGGGCCAGCCAAAGTTGGGTGAGACTATTGAAGAAGTATTCTCTTGTTAGAACAGTCATGATAGGATCCTTTGTAGGTCTGTATCAAAAAGTACCCAATATAATGGCCTTTGGAAAGTATTACATTTTGGTTGGTGTGTCTTAACATCTTATCTAAGAAAGAATTATCAGATTTAGTCTTTCTCAACCTTGGCAACTTTAGGATATGTGGACTTCAACTCCTAGAATTCCTCAAATTGGCTGGGAAGTATTTATTTGGAAGGGAGGAAAGTATGGTTTTACGTGGACAATCTGTATTGAAGATAATTTGGAGCGTTCATGGGGACATGCAGAGAACTGCTGGCAACTCCTTAAATCAAGCACTTCTTTTCTTGGGGTTGGCAGACAGTCACACAAGACCCCATCCCTTTAAGAAGTTGTAGACAGTTATTATCTGAGTGTCCTCGTGTGCTCCATGATACTTTCCCCTTCCCCTTTTTGTCTAATGCCAGCTTGTTCAACAAACCATTCTTAAAACAAAGCTTGGCTTGGCAATATTTGTGAATGTTATTTATGGAGAAATAGGTTTTGGCAAAGTATTTGGCTTTCTAGCTTTCATTTATTCACAATCCATATCTGTGGATTGGTTGGTGGAAGTTTAGGGATTGGTTTAATGTGATGAAAGGACTAGACAAGCAAGGAACAGACAACTCCTTTCATCCCATTTGCGTGGGATGGTTTATTTTCAAGGATATGTAGCAAGTATTATTACTTTTCTCTTGCCAGCAAGACCCAAATTGTGCAGCTCTGGACCCTGTCGCAATGGAGGGACCTGTAAGGAATCAGATGGGGAATACCACTGCACCTGTCCCTACCGCTTTAAAGGGAAACACTGTGAGATAGGTACTCAATGACATACCATTTTGTCCCCTTGGAATGCTTTGCAATTGTACACTCTGTGACTAAAATATTTTGTTCTTATAGGTAAACCTGATCCTTGTACCTCAGGGCCTTGTCATAATGGGGGCACCTGTTTCCATTATATTGGCAAGTATAAATGTGACTGCCTGCCTGGATACACTGGACGGCACTGCGAAATAGGTATTGGCATAGGAGGGATCTTTACCTACTGGAGCATAATTGTGAATCCAAAGACTTTGCCTGTAGCCTTTGGGCTGGGCAAGAGGTTTGTGGTTGGGTTCTTCATTCATTAAGCAGCAGGTGTTCCTATCCCCAAAGAATAAAGCTAAGGAAGTTCCTACTTTGCATTAGTATTTAAAATAATTACCAACAGTAATTACCATGAGATGATATTTTAAAATAGCATTTATTGTAATTGTTAGAAAAATGTGATAAGCCTTTGAATAACAATTTGTTTCTTAATCCAGAGGACAGAGTATATTCCTTCAGTTGTTGCTGAACTACAGTTCCCAACATCCTTTACTTTTGGCTTCTAGGAGTTCCTATTTGAAAGACAATGCAGTCTTCAGTCATATCCTAATCCCCTGAAAATTACCGTATATGCCGGCGTATAAGACGACCCGGCGTATAAGACGACCCCCCAACATTTCCACTCAAAATATAGTTTGTTATATACTCGCCCCCTCTTCCGCACGCCTTCCACTTTTGCATATATAT